AAGGGGAGCTAAGGAAGATAGCCGGGAGAAAGGATGATTCTCATAGTGCTAAGGAGGGTAGCCAGGAGAAAGGATGATTCTCAGGGAGCTAAGGAAGATAGCCGGGAGAAAGGATGATTCTCAGGGAGCTAAGGAAGATAGCCGGGAGAAAGGATGATTCTCAGGGAGCTAAGGAAGATAGCCGGGAGAAAGGATGATTCTCAGGGAGCTAAGGAAGATAGCCGGGAGAAAGGAGTATTCTCATATGGCCAAAGGGGGGAGTTAACACTAGCGTACGCGGAAGACATAAAAGGCAGGATACGATACAGTAGTTTAGCTTCCCAAGGAAAAATAATTAATTCCTATTGAGTCAACGACTTTCGAGTACTTCCGAATTCCTTGGACCTTTTACACAGACAGACAATTACATCTTTTTATTTCACTTCAATTAAAAGCTCCTGTGCGAGCTATTCTTCCAGATATCTCTAGTCTCAATCATTACAGCTTCCGAACCAGCTCAAAAGGTTCGACAGAGCATCTTTGTATATTCCTGACCCTGTCAACACAAACAATATATATATATATATATATATTTATATATATTTATTTATTTATTTCATTCATTCATTGATCTAGTTTAACGTCCTATGCGGTATCTATATACAGAACCATGAAGACGGTAAGCCGCTTTGGTAAGGGAAAAAGCTTTCAACAAACAAAACCCGATGTCCTGCCACTTTGAACCGACCCGGCTTAATGCTGAGGACGTTCCTTTCAACCGCAATTTTATAAACTTTCCCCATAATTCGTTAACTCCCCCTTCGATCAGACTAACGTTATGAAAAATTGAAAAGAGAAGGCACCTCCTCACTCGGCGTTGGTCTTCGAAGTGTTCGAAGAGTAGGTCCCGATGGCGGTGCTGCTGTCGAGGCGATTATTGGTGCCGCTGGGACTTCGACTACCTTACGCGGTCGTCCTGGCCCTCTTTTGAGTCCATCAGCCTTTTTACTGGTGACCAAAGTAAATCCCTGATCATCAGTTGGTCTGACTGTTTGTGTTGGCGCCATTGTTGGTTTTTCATTCCAAATATCTGCCGTTCTCGATAATTGCTCCATCCGAGCCTTCTCCACACTTCCCTTGTAGACCTGGTAGGTCCGACACGCTGCTTTCTGCCACGAACGATGTTCCTTGCCGCAGTTGGCACAAGAAACCCTTTTCCTCGGACAGTCCCGAGTTTGGTGAGCGCCAGCGCACTCACCGCACCTGGCTGCCTTTCCACACGACGCCTGCGTGTGTCCCCACTGGCTGCAGTTGTAACACTGCTTTGGCTGAGCCCGTGGCGACCATACCTGCGCGGTGAAGAGCATGGCGTTAATAACAAGGCCCTGTCGCACTACCTCCGTTTGCATTGCCTCCGATGGGAGGCTGACCACAATTGAACCACGATTGCGACCGTTTTTCTTCGATCGCTGATGTTCCTTTCCATCATGTAGCCATCGTATTCTGCTAATAACCAGGCCTGGAATACGTGCCTTGGTCGCCGTCTCAATCTCCCTGATGATGGCGTAGTTGTTGGCATCTCTGCCACCCTCAATTCTTGTCCGCAGTGGGACTCCGGAAACCTCAACAGGAAAGTCTTGCCGCAAAATTTTAAAGTCCGTTGGTTGCCGCATATTAAGCGCCGCGTCTCTCTGGGACGCCGACTGGACAAACACCTCGGTGTCGTTGCTTCGCATCTGTCGAATTGCAAATGCGCCTTCGATGTGTTGTTGTGCCTTTGACAGCAGCTCTTGTGGCTGCAGGTTTTGTGCGCCATCGATTCTTATCCTAACCGCTGTTTTCGTCATTTGCGGAGCCACGACCGACGCGTAGCTCCTTTGTGTCGGCGCGCCCGAAACCACTGCTGGTGCAGCTTTTCGAGCAGGATCCGCGAGGCTCTTTTTGACAACCTCCTCGAGCGCCATCATCCTCTCCTCGATAGGAGACTTCTTCTGGGACATTTCCGTCCAGGCCCTTTTGTGCGCGTTGAAGGCCTTGACGGCCTCGTTCACGTCCTCCATTGAGGGTAGGTCCTCCTCATCCCCCTCTCCCATCACGATTAGTCTAACCTTTTTCAATAGTTTCCCTAAAATTTCAAGGTTCTTATCCTTTGGAGCTGTTTGCGCTCCGCTGCCGTTATTTGTTGGGGCCATTGTCGCATTTTGCGACGCGTCGAATCCGCTGGATTTACCCACACCAGCACCCACACTCGCCATGTTGGAGCACGGAAAGCGAAACGATGAGAGGAGGGTAATAAAGATGTAAAAATAAGAATCACGATGTCAAATTGATGATACGGGCAGCGTGGAAGGCTGCGCAGCTTTCTGGCAAAAATGATGTTTTTGAATTTATTTATTTATTTATTTATTTATTTATTTATTTATTTATTTATTTATTTATTTATTTATTTATTTATTTATTTATAATACTTAACGTCGTGCCCGCGCACAGCACGTGAGCTCCTCACGTGCCGGTTAGCTCAGTCTAAATAAAACTACCCGACATGTTGGCACCCGAACAAACCCAACAAAGCAAATGAAAGCCAGGATCTCATCACCCAGCACTTGATGATTAAATTATACATGGTTACCGGTCTCCCTTCAACTCTCGTGTATTCAGATGGTATTGAATGAAGAATAGATTAAATAAACAACATGGAGGGGGGAACTTAGTTGAATCACATGATTCCCTTTCGGTCAGACTTGTTGTGCTTTTCCAAAGAAATTCGTGACACGCACCCAGCTATTAAATGCGTGAACTCCCTCCGCGGAAGCGAGAGCCCAGGATACGCTGGGACTAGGATTCTGTGCTCTGTGGAGCTGTGCCTGGTATTGCCCGAGGTGGCAATAGAAAAAGTGGTTGGGGGACTTCTCTTCTCCACATGAGCAGGTTAGAATGGCGTTTTCATGCTGAAACCGTCGGTGGTAGTCTGCGAAATCGCCATGTCCAGACTATTAAAGTTCTAGGGGGTATCTGGAATGATAGAAGTGAACATTGACCGTCAAGTCAATACTGTACGAATCGTAAGATATTGGGGATTTAAGGATCAGAGATAAAAGGTTAGGATCAGTGAGGTTTTGGTTTTACTGAACTTATATTTCGGTAATTAAAAATGTTCATGTTTTTAATCTACATCTAATTGTCTATCTATGTTCTACCTCGCTTAGGTAGAAACATTGTGTTCTGATTACGTGATGGAATAACATTCACACCACCGAGATCATCACCAACCGAGACCTCACCAAAGCTGGTAGCGATCGAAAATGAGTAGTCTTCGTCTACTCCGCACTGCGTGCAGTTCGGTCTGGCATTTCTAGATTTCAACACAGACCGTACAGCTAATAGATATCCTAGTGTGCGTCGCCCTAGAAAGGCGAGCTTGGCAGTAATCTTAGTATTAGGACCAATTCCTAATTCTTTATATCTAGATGGAGAATTTTCTACCCAGTAAAGTGCGACAGAATCCTCGTACTAGGCTTTGACTTCCTTTCTTGCCCTCGCAATAGAGAATACCAAGTGTAGAGCTGGATCCGCACAAGCGTCCTTGGCAAGCGCGTCGGCTGCTTCGTTTCCCAGAATACCTGCTTGGTGTCACAAACCATCACTGGGATGTCGTGTCGCATCCAGGCAACCGAGTTATGACGTGCATACAATAACACTATTTAGGTATTGTAATGGTTACAGTGTTGTGATAGCAACAGTTGCCATTTAGAGTACTAGTTAGTTACTGTGTTATGGCTGTAAACTACTACACCCTTGGTTATAGTATTGAAGCTCGTGTACTTAAGGAAGCTCTAGGACTGGATGTGTACTGTAGCTTTTTGTCTTGTAAATTACTCATGTTTTAGAATCTAATTATTAATCTAAATATCTCATCCTCATTATCAGCCTCTGTCTTCGTCTTCGTCTTCGTCTTCGTCCTCGTCCTCGTCCTAGTCTTCGTCCTCGTCCTCGTCCTAGTCTTCGTCCTCGTCCTCGTCCTAGTCTTCGTCCTCGTCCTCGTCCTAGTCTCCGTCTCCGTCTCCGTCTCCGTCTTCGTCTCCGTCTCCGTCTCCGTCTCCGTCTCCGTCTCCGTCTCCGTCTCCGTCTCCGTCTCCGTCTCCGTCTCCGTCTCCGTCTCCGTCTCCGTCTCCGTCTCCGTCTCCGTCTCCGTCTCCGTCTCCGTCTTCGTCTCCGTCTCCGTCCTCGTCTTCATCCTCGTCCGTGAGACTTGGCCCGGGCACCATCAGATAGCCACTTCCCCAGGCGTTGTGTTTTGTCCACGTGACCTTATTTTCCAGTTTGCTGCAAGCTTGCAAAAGAGAAAGTTGTCGCTGAGCTAGAGGCTGTGGAAACATCAGAGAGAAGACAGAGGGCAGCCTCCTGCAAAAAATATATATACATTGTGGATTGCGCATCAGACGCGTGATAGCACGTGACCATACAGTACCGCAATCCACTCTATCCCTTGACAAGACTCCTTGAATCAACTCCATCTTAAAAACTTCCATCATCAGAGCAAATTAAATTTGTAAATTCAAGCCTGTTCTCTAAGCAGAGGATATGGCTCCTCCGGCTCGCGGCAGAAAGCGCGAGGTGTCCGAGGCACTGGATGCAAAGCATCGCATTCAGAAACACGCAAGCAAGTCTGGAAGAGGGCAGTTAAGTGATGGCATTGCCACCCGCTCAAATTCGAAGCTGAATGCAGCAATCTCTGGATTCGCTGTTTCTCGAGGACTTCTGGCATTAGTGCCCCAAAATGCTCCTCCCGACACTCACTAGGTCTTGAGTCCTAGGGACAAGGACACGATCGAAGAAGATCAGTTGACAGATAATACATTTCCTGAAAGTACAATCCCCACGCAGCAAATAGATGCTGACAAAGAGGAAACCAGCGTGACCCCAATGGACACAGAAAACAGCGAGCCCGCAGGGAGCTACCGTATTCCCTCATGTCATAAGCCAGAGGTTTACTTAATCTAGTTGGACCGTACCTTGAAGATATGGAAAAGGAATGCCCGGGAGCAGGTGCAGACTTCTTAGCCCTTATCTCAGAGGGGGTATCACGAGCCATCAGAGGACAGAAGATTTACAAGAGCTCAATGAACGAGCAAGAGCAAAGGCAAAAGCCCTCCACTCAAAGTGACAACAAGAAGACATGGGCCTCCAAAGCGGCCGCAGGGGTCTCGACCGGAATATACATTGATTTATGTCGGCCCATGACAAGACCGACGCCTCCCCAGAATCAGAGCAAAGGAGACAAAAGGATCATGATTCGGCTAGATCGAGAACACGAAGCTCGAAAAGCAGACCCGTTTTTACTCCGCCAACAAGTCCAAAGGCTGATCCCCGACCCATCAATTGTTGTTGACGCATGGTAGGTTCCGTCCGGCGTGGTAGTACTTGCCGCATCGCCGGCAAAAGCAGCTAGTATTTTACAGCATAGTGAAGCCATTGCTGCAAGATTTGGTAATGCTACGGTGGAAAGACAAGAGACTTGGACGACATTTGTTGTCGGCCCTATTCCAAAGAAAGTTAACACATTAGACAGAGCCTATGACCCACTTGAAGGGCTTTTACTAGAGGAGCCGGCGATTCGAGCTATAAAAGATGACACTCCTATTCGACACATAGCCTGGAAACGTCGGTCTACAGACTCTCTGAGCCCATTTGGGCACATCAGAATTCATGTTCCTGAGGCAAGGGCACATATAGTGCCATCCCGGATGCAGCTTTTCGGACAAGCAACAAGCGTCCAACGAGTTTCGAACAAGCAGCTATTGTGCACCTGCAATAAATGTTTTGGCTTCCAGGCCATAAGAACCTGCGCCCGACAATTTAAATGCGCCTCTTGTGGAATGGATTCTCACAAAGGTCCATGCTCACAACAAATATAGTGCCTAAATTGCCGTGGGCCTCATGTTGCAATTTCATAGTAAGAGGAGCAGAAAGTATAGCTCAAAGAATATTGTTTCCATTAAAGTTCTAAGTTACATGTAAAACGCGAATTTATGTGCGCATATCCCAGAGTTAAAGTGGGTATGCAAACAACAATTATTACAGTGAAAAGTCTTCAGCACAGCTGACCACGAAACCATTGTGCGGGGAATAAAACAGTACTGACCCCGCACCATTAACGCCATCCTATTTGTCGCAAAGTAAAAGTGACCATATCTCTCACTGCATTTGCATATAGTATCATATTACCCCGCACATGCAAATGTATGAGAGAATATCTCAACAGCAAAAAGAAACAAAAATGTAGAATACAGGATGTATTGTGCAGCATGCAGGAAAGTTGTTCATATTTGCAAGGAATGCCAATTATTGAAAGAAATGTGGCAAATTCCAACACCTCACAAATCCACTGATACCTCATGCCCGGCTCGCCCATGCAGAGATCATGGTGTATTCGTTCGCCCAACAGGGGCACAGTTGCGACATATATGCGCCGCTGGACGCAGAGAGCTTGCCAATACTTTGAGGCATACTCAGGAATCGGCCGAGAGCGGTGCCAAGACCCTCACTGAACTCAACCCTACCCATTAAATATGGTCAGGAGACAGAAAAATCTAAAAATCAGACCAATCCGAATCATACAAGTAAATGTTGGAAGAGGAGCTTACGCGCACAATATGGCTCTCCAGCTCGCACACGAAAATAATATTGACGCTCTACTCATACAAGAACCTTGGACATTAAAAGATCTAACAGCAAAAAGGTCAATTTCACACCCAAAATTCGCGCTTTTCTCACCACTAGACGAATGGCATACTCGCCCCAGAGTTCTAACCTACATTAGCAGTTCACAAGGACTGCGCTCATACCAAAGTGCAATTAATACTTCTCCAGACCTACTGCAGGTGGTTATCTCCACCGGGCGTGGTCGGAAAATAGCTGTATGGAATGTGTACAACGCTCCAGCTGGGTCAATCAGAGCGGGAGAAGGTCTTAAAAGGTAAATCGAAGCGACATGTACTCCTGAATTTGTCGGTGGAGACTTTAATTTGCGACATCCAATCTGGGACTTGCATGCCACGTACACTTCTCAGGGGGCGCAGACTTACTAGAATGGGCAAGAGAGAAAGAACTTATTCTCTTAAACCCAACGGAAATATCGACACACAGGGGCGGCGGAACGTTAGATCTAACTTTCTCCTCCCTAGCCGGAGCTAAATGTGAGATCCCTTCTGACCTTCAAACTACATCTGACCACAAAACAATGGTGACCACCTTAACTGGTGAATACAATGCGAATGAAAATAGTGAGAGGCGACTACAGTATGACTCAATTAACGAAGTTTTATTTACAACTCTATTGAGATGCCATAGCGGTCCCCCAGATCTTTCGACAGTAGACGACATCGAAAAAGAGGCGGAAAATATTGTCAAAGTGATCCGAACGGCACTCCAGTCTGCCACCCTCGCGCCAGAGAGAAGAACCATGGCAACGTCTGGTGGAATAAAGATTGTAAGCTCGTAGCTCGTAGGTACTACGCAGCAAGACGGAAGGGAAAGCATGAATTCGAACAAAAAGAGCTCCAAAATGCTGTCAGACGTGCGAAGAAAGAGTACTGGACTACAAGAATCGAAAAATCGGAGTCTCTCCCAGAAGTATTTAAGATTGTGAATTGGCGCAACACTCCGCCCAAGTATCAGACACCACCACTAAAGGGACCAGATGGGGAGCCCAAAATCCAGAACCCGAAAGAAAAAGCAGCACTACTCCATAGAGTGCTCCTCTCCCGACATCTGGAGGCAACAGATATCCCAGAAGAAACCCCCTCAGTAGCCTCGAGGCGTATTCCTTGGCAACCATTCTCTGAAGTAGAATCGTTCCGGGCAACCTGTCAGGTATCTTCAACCTCACCAGGGGAGGATGAAATTACGGCTCCTATTATTCGACTCTCATGGCCAATATTAGGGGAGCGAATAACTAGGCTTTTCAATAAATGCGCAGTACACGGGGTACACCCAAAGATATTCAAGCGCGCACACATTGTTATTTTGCTAAAATCTGGAAAACGGGATCAAACACTACCTAAATCATACCGACCTATTGCTCTTCTTTTCTGTCTTGGAAAAGGACTTAAACGGCTCTTCGCACGGCGTCTCTCTTTCTGCTCCTTGAAGTTTGATATCCTAGGTAGGGACCAGTGTAGTGCAATAAGCCGACGGTCAGCTACGGATCTAATGACAGCATTGGTATGTGATGTTACTGAAGCACTCCGCAACGGGAAACTTGCAGGTATGGTGACGGTTGATGTGAAAGGGGCCTTTGATGGGGTACTGCAAAAACGACTCCTTTTTCGACTGAGGACTCAGGGATGGCCGGAGAACGTAGTGCAATGGGTAAGCTCCTTTCAAAACCGGTCGGCAAGAATCAGAGTCGATCGAGAAGTATCAGACCCTTTTCAGATTCTATGTGGTCTACCACAAGGATCTCCAACATCGCCAATTCTATTTCTTCTCTATGTAGAACCAGTCATGCGCCTTGCACGCGGATGTTTCGGCTATGCAGATGATATTGCAATGTTCGAAACAGGCCCAAATCTTGAGGAATGCAGTCAGAAACTACAGTTACGACTGACAAGAACTCTACATTAGGGTAGGGACAACGTTATTCAGTTTGAAACAACGAAGACTGAGCTCCAATATTTTCATAATAAGAGAAAATATCAGGAACCTCCCTTAATGATGGAGGACACCTTAGTTCTTCCGAATGATCACACACGCTGGATTGGGATAGTCTTTGATAGGAAGCTATCATTCAAGGAACATATACGGCGAGCCTGCCAGCGCTGTTGAGTGGTCACCGACCATGTCAAGAGACTATGTAACACTGTGAAAGGTGCCCAACCTGCTCTTCTGCGGCAAGCCTTCCAATGTATAGCTTTTGCATCACTTTTCTACGGAGCTGAGACGTGGTATGGACCAAAAACTTCCAATTGGGCAATAGATCAAGTCCAAAGAGCAGTTAATAGAGCAGCTCGAGCTGTATTACCAGTGTATAAAACTACCCCTGTCCTAGCACTTTTGCGGGAAACTGGATGGGCTCCAGCAACTATCTGGCTAGAAAGAATACACGATTGCTTTGTAACAATAGTTGCCTCAGCTGACCCTAAGCACCCCTTACGAAGCCGTTGGAATACAAAATATCTCCAATGGATTAGGAGCCGCCAAAAAGGTCTGATGGAATATCGAAATTGGGAGCTAAGCCAGAAACACAATTTGTTAGATCTTTTCATATATTCAGATGGGGCAATGAATAAGGAAGGAGAGGCAGGCAGTGCGTATTGCATCTACCAGGGACCAAACTCAGAAATTACGAATGCGAAGATTCCCCTCGGTCGGACTGCAGAAGTATTTGATGCAGAAATTATTGGGGCAGTCGAGGGCTAAAAGCAGCCAAGGCACATTTTATGTCCAAATACACTACAAATATTGTGGTATAATTGGAAGAGTAGAGTGCACTCTTCGAGAGAGGTAGAGGGTGCGGTGAAAGTATAATGGGTTCCGGGTCACGCAGGGATCAAAGGAAACGAACGTGCAGACGTATTAGCTACGGAGGCCTGCAGCAAAACAACGACAAGGAAAAAAGCTTCGATATACCGAGCCAAAAGCCTCATAAAGGAGCGGCACGAGAGTAGCATCATCCAATTTTGGAAGGATCACGCTTCGAGTAGATATAGGAGTCTTAAGATATCTATGACAGGACAAATGCCTGAGGAATTGTAGATTTTATCTCGGAAAAATCTCGCGTTACTCCTTGCTGCCCGCTCCGCTCACGGAGATTACGCCACGTATCACAGACGCTTCCAGCACCAAGACGCCAAGCTATTGTGTATCTGTGGAGAAGAAAAGGCTCCGGAACATCCCTTTGCATGCAGGAAACTTGACCAAAGTAAAACTCCGAGACCACGTCCATCTCAGGGTAAGGAGGAGGACATCATGTGGATCCTCGGCACAACAACAGGGGCGAAAGAATTTGAAAAATGGTGCAACATAGCTCATCCACACAAACAACAAATTCTCACTGTGTAGAAGCAAGATTAGTGGTGACATTGATAGGATTGCCTTGAAACAACTGCACAAATTTGTAATTTAATCATAGTAATTTAAAAAGAAATAAAAGGGGGGCGTATTAAGAAGTTAGGCATTGGGGGATTTACACGAATAGAGTGGCCTAGAGCTCTACCTTGCATTAATATCGAGCATTAATTGCAAAAAAAAAGGGAGGATACAGTAGTTTTTTAGACAATAGAATTGTCCGATAGAAATAGGCTATGCAGATACGCCAAACGCCCATTCTTGGGCATAGAGGTCGGGTCATACCTGTGAGCTTACTTGGCGTTAAATGCAAACAAACAAACAAACAAACAAACAAACAAACAAACAAACAAACAAACAAACAAACAAACAAACAACAAACAAACAAACAAACAAACAAACAAACAAACAAACAAACAAACAAACAACAAACAAACAAACAAACAAACAAACAAACAAACAAACAAACAAACAAACAAACAAACAAACAAACAAACAAACAAACAAACAAACAAACAAACAAACAAACAAACAAACAAACAAACAAACAAACAAACAAACACAATTTTTTGAAATTCGAATTTTCGAATATCCCCCTTTACCCCTTCTCTCTCCCTCTCGCGCTTGTCGCATCCCTTCAATAAATTGTAATCGAGTCACTGGCATTTTCGTCATGCCACCTGTTCGAAAAAAGCTCCCCAACTCAATGTTGGACAACGCAAGAGTCCGCCCGAGGGCTCCTGCAAAAACACCTGGCTTCGCGCAAAAACTATCAAGCCTATTTGCGAGTGAGGCCTTTGTCCCAGGGAAGTCCACAAATCTTCCCGATCAAGAGATGACTGATTCTGAACCGATCAGAGCAGAAAACAATGGTCCCAAGACCAAAACCCCCGTCGAACTGCCCCCTTTGGCAAGCAGCTCCAGGAAAGGAAAGGAAGTTGTTCGAGAAAAGACAACCGAACGTGCAGAATCATCTGCAGGAAACAATGCTGTGCCAGCCTCTAAAGGCGCAGCATCGACATCAGCAACGGAGTTTCCACCAGAGCTGCAATCAGTGATGGAGGCCGAAAAGCGTCGCACGACGCAAATAAACGCCCGACTCGCAATCTGCTCGACTGCAATCAGCGGTGTCGAAGCAGCACTTTCGCCTCTTTCGATTGGCGATAATAAAGAATTTGTAGACGGAATCAAAGTCTATCTTCGAGCAGCCATCGGCCAGTTCGTAAAATCTGGCCCAGGGAGCACACCACCAGCTCTCCCAGCTCGCCCCGCCAACCCTCTTCCGCCGAGGGCACCAGAAATAAGGGTTCCTAACCCTCCAACAATCCAGGCTCCGGCCCCAAAGACAACTTGGGCCACCGTAGCTCGGGCAGGCCTAGTCAGTAGCGCTGGGCCATCGACAAAAAAGGCAGCACCACCCGCCCCCAAAGCAAAGAGTGCCAACTCGAGGTCAAAAGCCGATTCACGACTTTTTCTGCGCCTTGACTACTTCCACCCCCACCGTCTCCTCTCCCCAGCTGGAGTAAGGCTAGCGGTGTCTCAGGCGCTGGGAACCGCTGCCAATAATATCACGTTGGTTTAGCGGGTAAAGACCGACTTTGCAATAACTGCAAAGAATGAACTCGCTCGAACAGAGCTCCTAGATTCCTCTACATCACGGAGCGAATCTGGAATCAAACTGGAACCAGCATCAAATCTGGTTGCCATGCAAATTGCCACCGTCCCGGAGACAATTCGAACTCTTGCTGGCCCAATCGCCGTGACGGCAAAGATGGTTGCCGACGAAGTCACGCGAGTGACCCAGTTGGTTCCCTTTCTGGTTCGTCCTCATGGGACTAGCAAACCAGGGGCGCCCTACTCAAATTGGCAAGCGCTATTTCCCCGAGAATCCGCTCCTCGACCTGGATTCCGC